AGTCAGTCGACTTTCCTGTAGTTCTGGGTAATGTCCATTTTATATTTTAGTTGTATTTTATTGAAATTGTTGTGTGCGGCTGTGGCTAGTTGCCTACCCGAGCAGCCATCTTGGATTCTCTCCATGTAAATATTTTAGAATAAATTTGTCTGTCTACAAAAAACAAACCTTGCTGAATTTTTGTAGGAATGTTAAATTTTTAAATTAAGTAAGAATTGACCTTTTTTTTTTTTACTGAGACTTCCAATCCATTTTTATGCTGTTTTCCATTTGATAATTTTCAGCATATAGATCTTGTACATGTTTTGTTATATTTATACCAAAATATGTTTTCTTTGGAATGATTGTAAATTGTATTGTGTTAATTTCATTTCCAATTTGTTTTTGAGTATCAAACAAGAATCCAGCAAATTATAACTTTAAAAATATGTCTCTTGAAGCTCTGGCATGTCTCCTACTTATGGCATTGGTAGGTCTTTCAAATTTTAAATAACTGTAAAAAGGATAGACTAATTATAATTAGTTCATTCTCTCATTTGATATCAGATGTAGAAATAATCCCTTTTTCTAACATTTGATCATATTGCCACTTGAAAACTTAAAGGATTGGGAACTAGTCTCTCTCTATATAAAGGAGTTCATTGTTGGATAACTGATTCTCATTGTTCATTTTGCTGTTGACTCATGGTCATTGAAGACCTCTAAATTTTTAACCTGCTCTGCATTTTCTTGTCTTCCTCTTTCAGGTTCAAGGATTGAGTTCATCATCTCAAAATATGCCTTCTTTCATGTCATCTTAGGTTCGAATTCTATATATATATATATATATATATATATATATATATATATATATATATATATATATATATATATAATTATTATTATCTCTGAACGCATTATAACCTGGCCACTGTTGTGTGTGTGTGTGTGTATTAGAGGCCTGGTGCATGAATTTGTGCATGGGTGGGGTCTGGTCAGCCTGGCCAGGGGGAGGTGACATGGGTGGTTGGCCAGCCTGCCTTCTGGTCGAGGGGACAATTTGCATATTAGCCTTTCATTATATAGGATATACACTGAGTGGCCAGATTATTATGTATTCAGAGATCATAATAATCTGGCTACTCAGTACACACACACACACACATGCTGTAGACGTAGTATGACTCCAATTTCTAATGACACAAGTCTTCCAGAAGCCCAGACACCTGAAAGTAATAGGAGGGTAGAAGTAGATAAGTACCTTAGGAATTCTACCCGGTTGGGGTGAAGAATGGCTTGTCTAGAAGGTGTGAAGGGAATGACTCCCAAGCACTGGACTATGACAGGCTATTTTAACTAAGTTCTAAGATCTTAAAATTTTTCTATAAGTGAATGAATTCAAAGGAGTTCTGACTTCCCCAAATCCCCAGTAATGGTCCAAGGATAATGGACACCAGAATCCCAAATTGTGATGGTTAATTTAAGATTCTGAAGCCGTATGCCAGACCTAAACAATTCCTGTGGTGGGATAGAGGAACAGATTGTTTATTTAGCATTCCAAACTTTCAGAACTGATTATTTTTGCTTATATATTTTGAGCATCTTTTAGTTATAATGCATGTTTGGGCAATATATAAGAAAGTATACATATAAACAGAACTCCAATGCAAGGTAGGATATGTAATAAATGCAGTGAACTGTGGGTTTTCAACTGGAAAGGCGAGTAGACGAGATCAGTAAAGATTTGAAGGATTAACATTTTACAACAACTGATAGACAAGTTAGATTTTTAAATTTTTATTACACTCAGTGCAGTATTCATTTCTCACTTAATATGGTTGTTCACAAGTATAAGGCAATTAGAACAACACTGCATTATTACATTTAAGATGAAACACCATTATATGCTGAATCAATTTCTTTTAAAATATCATTTGAGAAAGCATACAATTATAGGAAATCAAGTCTTTTTCAATGTTAAGACATAATAGCAATGCTTAAGAAGGATAAACATGAAATTACTTCTGAATTTGTAATTCATTTCAATGCTATTTCAACCATTATTTACCCTTTATGTCTTGACATTCACATGAAAGAAAAGCATATCATTAATTATCCAAATGCAAATCAGAGTGAAATGCTAGGCCTCACTTAAAAATTGCAGTATTTTAAATTTAATTAAAAGCGAAAGACAAAAAACTGTTGATAGCTTACTCAATTAGCATAATTTTAACTTTGAAATTGAATGTTGACATTAAAAACCATGAAGCAAATAATATAGCTTTAGAATATTTCAAAATTTAGTCCTTTGCTTGTAAATTTTACTTCTTTTGGCTATACAAGTAACATGCTTCTTTTAAATAATATCTTTTCACTTTGTGTCTATAAAAATAAATTGTCCTCAATATTCCTAAATTCTTTTCCAAATAAGGCCATTGTTACATGGTGAGAAGTTACTGAATCATAGGTTTAACACAAGTGGCACAAATCATATGTACAAGATGTAGGAAATTCATTGTTAGGTGGGGAATAAGAGTACAGTATAGTAGCTAGCCATTCATAAGAGGTAGAGTTCTTAATCACAGTTTACAGAAAAGATGCAGTAGTTATACTGTTTTTGTAGTATCTAAGTTTGCTTCTCATTAGGAGGTAAACAGGAGGGGGGATAGAGAGGGCTCTTCAGAGGCAATGACTTATTGGCCCTTGTTTTGCATGTGTCACAGGGACTATCCTGGGCACTTAAAGTACTTTCTCAGCCAATGAAGGTAACTGGTCATACATGGCATTTCTCTGATTTTAAAAAAGCCTGAAAGTAGGGAAACAAGTTCCTGTGCTCCCAGAGGCATAGGAGGGAAATAAATCTTTTTGTACCACTCAGAGTGTAAATCATAATGAAACATTCTCTGGATATCAATTATTGCTTAACAATGCCAGCAGTACTAACCCACAGAGGGATTCTGTACTCAAATTTAGAAGTTGATTGCTTCTAACTGATATTTGTTATAAACAATACTACAAATGAGTATAACCTAAAAATGCTATTCAATTAATGATGTAGCTAAATTACTAGTATCTGAGTAAGACCCCATGGACTGCAGTAGGCCAGGACAGTACAGATTTTATTTATAAAGTTATATATGGAATATTCAAACTTGGGATTCTGTGGGTTTCAAATTTTACCTGAATGTCAATAAAATGATCAGAAAAATCATTTTGTGAAAGGTATAGTAAAATTTGTAATAAATATGTATACCCAGTGCTAAACTACAATAGGAGTTATATTTAATAAAATGTACCTGAATACTTATTAGATGATTCAAAACAGAATAAAACAGTTGTAAAAAAGTTTATAGCCAAGTAATATTTCTTCTAGTTAACAGGAAATTATCTCATGATTTGTATTAAGGATGGATCAATATGGTTATAGATACTTACCTAAATTCTTTTTATACTGACTTTAGTAGTTCTTTTTTACTGATTTTGAGAAGTCAGAAAAGGCGATATTTATTTATGTTAGGCCCAGATCCTTTTAGCAATACTTCCTTCACAACTGCTGGTAATAATGTATCCAACTCAATAATCATGTTAAAATTAACATAACACTGTTGACAACATAAAAACAAAATTATTTCTCTCACATTTAATTTTAAAATACTATACCTTAGTTAAGGATTAGACAGAATAAGTCCTAAAGGAGACTTAGCAATGTTTAACTCTTCATTTCAAAAAGATAATTTGTCCTAATTTTAGTAGTTATGATTTAGCATTTAAAAAAAAATATATCTTATTGATTTTTCACAGAGAGAAAGGGAGAGGGATACAGAGTTAGAAACGTCGATGAGAGAGAATCATCGACCAGCTGCCTTTTGCACACCCCCTACTGGGGATGTGCCCGCAACCAAGTCACATGCCCTTGACCGGAATCGAACCCGGGACCTTTCAGTCCCCAGGCCAACGCTCTATCCACTGAGCCAAACCGGTGCCAGCTGATTTAGCATTTTTTAAGAATTATCACAATGCCAGCTTTTGGGAATGTAAGATAAGTATATAAAACATACTTTTTTGCTAATATTTTAAATTGAAATATATTTGGTTATAGAAGTCTCCAAATCTGTTTTTCACAGCTATGCTTCTATTTACATTAGAGGAGAGATGCATATGTAAAAACAGAAAAGTTGAGTCTTTGTCTTCTAAAGATATATTCAATCCATGATTAGGTTAATTATCAGATGATTTATAACTTAATATGTTGGAAATTTATAATTAATTTGTAATTGCTACATTTACAAGGAAACTTCTAGGTAAGAAAATCTTTAAAAAACAGTGTTTGGCCTAGATGGATAGAGCATTGTCCTGTAGAGTTGAAGGGTCCCAGGTTCAATTCCAGTCAAGGGCACATGCCTGGGTTGCAACTCAATCCCCCCAGTGGGAGACATGCAGGAGGCAGGTAATTCTCTCTCAACACTGATTTTTCTATCTCTCCCTTCCTCTCTGAAATGAATAAGAAAAATAAATTAAAAAAAAATTGTTCGGCCCTGGCTAATGTGGATCAGTGGTTAGAGCATTGGCACAGGCACCAAAGGTTCGCAGGTTTGATTACTGGTTAAGGGCACTTACCTGGACTGCAGATGCAATCCCCAACCCCAATCAGGGTTTGTGCAGGAGCAACCAATCGATGTGTCTCTCTCCTTGCCTGCACCCCCAAACTCTATAAAAATCAATGGAAAATAATCTTCGGTGGGGATGAACAGAAAAATAAAAACCCAGCAAGAACTTTATTAGGCCTGGCTGGCGTTGCTCAGTTGGTTGGGCGTCCTGCACTAAAAGGTTGCCAGTTCAATTCCTGGTCAGGGCACATGTCCAGGTTATGGGCTAGATTCCAGGTTGGAGGTGTGCAGAAGCCGGAGAGATGTTTTCCTTTCACATTGATGTTTCCCTCTCTCACTTCCTCTCTATAAAAATCACAAAAAAATCTTAAACCAAAATTGTTTGGTGTTGCATTTAGGTCCAAAGTTCATTTCTTTAAATCACCTGTGACACATTTGCATATTTTTTTAAACTTAGGAAAATGCCATTAATAATATGGCTTCATTCAATTATACCTATACTCTGCAAAATATTTGCTATGCACTTAAATATATCTGGAGCAATAAGATTACTTGCACAGACTGAAGTGAAGACTTTTACATTAAAATTGTTTCACACTTATGGTAATAACTGAAAACATTTTGGAAATACTACTAACGGTCTTGACTGTAACAGTTTATTGCATTTTTCTATCTCTTTTTCAATATGGAGTTTTGATATGGAGTTTTAAGTTCTACTTTTCCTCTTATCTTCAAATAGACTCTTCAGCATATAAACTTGAATGGCTGACACCACCACCATTACCACTAAATTAACCATAGACCAGAAGTTGACTCTATCATAGTTGCTTTCTTGTATATTTCGATCACGAGCTTCAAATGCTCTAAGCAGAGTTTGGATATGACCACTTTTGCTTAGTCTGGACTTGATACTGTTGATGGATTCCTGGAAATAAAGAAATAATTTTACTATAAAAGAATTCTCAGTAATGATAAGTTAATTTAAAAACATGTTTTATAGTAACCTTCCTGTTCATATAAATTTCATAGGTAAACACAATGTTAATTAAGGAACAGATGCTACTTAGATTATATAAAGGTCTTCTGTAAGGTTATGTTATAGCTCTCCTGACACATTTAAATTATTATTTATAAACAGTTATTTAACACAGGAACAAATCTATGAATTGAAACTAAATAAAATGAAAATATATTTGAGTTGAAACAGTGCCAGGAATTTTACATACATTATTTTTTTCTTAGCCCTTGTAACTATAAGAAAATGTTTTTAAAACAGGTTTGGCTCAGTGGTAGAGCGTCGGTCTGCGGACTGAAAGGTCCCAGGTTCGTTTCCGTCAAGGGCATGTACATTGGTTGTGGGCACATCCCCAGTAGGGGGTGTGCAAGAGGCAGCTGGTTGATGTTTCTCTCTCATCGACATTTCTAGCTCTCTCTCCCTCTCTCCTCCTCTCTGTAAAAAAATCAATAAAATATATTTTAAAAAAAAGAACAGATAAGTTTTTAGGTTTTTACCTTTAATAATGAATGCATTGTATGTTAATATTTTTTTTTCTTGGAATGTTAGTCTGGTTCAATATAGCATTTAGAAAAACACAATGTTTTTCTCTCACAAAGTAGTGAAATTAAAGCTATTTCAACTTTATATGTGCATTCTTTACACGCACGCAACAAGTACAACCTATTGTTAATAAAAACTTATTCCAAGATCACATTCATTAAACAAACTTACCAAGATTTGTTCTAAGTTGCATATCTTCTGGGAAAAAAAACTACTTTATAGTAGGGACCTGATCAGAAATCATATGAAAACTAACTACAGAATATAAGGTAAAATTTAGTTGAGATTTCAAATGATATAAAATAAGAAAATCCAAGAAACAGATTTTCCTAGAGACGCACTTTGCTTAAAATCCTTATTTAAGTAAAAAAATATATTCAATTTCAGACTGGTGTGCTGATCCTATAAAACTACAAAATATATCATATGGGCATATCTGTAAAGAAATATATTTTCCAGAAAAATATGGAGTTCAGTTCCTCAAAAAAAAGCATCATAGTTCTTTTCAATAGCATAACGATGCTAGTCACATATAAAATTATTCAAGTTTTTAATTGTGATACAAAGTCTGGGGAAAGTAAATGGAAAAAGTTCCAGAAAGACAATTTATTTTCTTAAGGAAAATAAGTATTTTAAGCCATATTTAATTTGGAACTTTCTCATCATTTTGTTTAACTGTGTGAATATCTGGAGAATGCAGTGAAGTACCAATAAGATTTGTAACTACTTGCATTTTGTTCTTGTTGGCAACATAAATTTAAAATGGAAGATTATGTTCATTTGTTTGAGGTTTTTTAAATGGGTAGGAAGATTGGAATATAGTGTAAATATGGACACAGCATTTCCATTTTAATTGTAAGCTAGTTCCTTATCTAAAAAATGGAATGGAAAGGAAAAGGAAGGAGGCTGAAGCTAGATTAGTAATATCTAAGTCATCTTCTAGTTCTAAAATTCAACTAAATTTAATATATATAAGAAATCATGATGAGATAAGAAACTGTCATGATAGCCTGGCCAGTGTGGCTCACTGGTTGGAGTCGACCTATGAAATTGGAGGTCACATTTCCATTCCTGGTCAGTCACATGCCTGGGTTACCGGCTTAATCCCTAGTTTAGGACCCGCAAGAGGCAGCCAATCGATTCTCTCTCATCATTGAGCCTCTATCTCTCCCTCTCCACTCACTCCTCTCTGAAATCAATAAATATATATAAATATTTAAAAAATGTCATGGTAAAAATTAAAGCCAATCAAACTTTATCCTTTCAGTTTCTATTCACAGTAACACCAGTGGAAAAGATAAGAAAACTAACATTTATTATGTGCTAGACACTGTTTATACACATAGTGTATCACAGTTCAGCCTCACAACTCTAGAGGTATTGTCCCCATTTTCCAGGTTTGAAACCAAGGCTCAGAGAGCTCAGTCACCAAGGAATTACACATATGACAGGACCACTTAAAATTACAACTGAATTATGTCTCTTCTGCTATAATTTGATCATTCCTTTCCTAAATAAATTCAGATATATTTATCAAAATATCACATTATTTTTTAAAAGTTTAGCTGATAAGAGTATTAGAAGTGTTACAGTTTCAAACCTGAAATAACTATGTTATTTCTCCTGCAAGAATTTCTACAATGGAGTTACACATGCTATTTACAAGTATCACCACGTAAGTCCTATCCTTTGGCTTCACATTGAGCTGTGGCTGAAGGGTTAGACCTTTCCCGTTAGCACTGGCAGTACTCTTATTAAATGCAAACAGGTTCTTATACACGTACATTCCATTATTCATGTTTATAATAAAGCTTAAAGCAGCTCAAGAAAAGAAGCCGTATCCTAACTTTGCACTCTTGAGTGCAATGCTAGTTTATGATAATTGCTAGGTCTGGTTTGAGTAATTAAATATTGTTCCCAAATTAATCAAATAATATCAAATTCCATGTTATAAAAACTATGATGTGAGGAAAATGCCTTATATCTTAAGTGTTTACAAATTACTCAGTGCAAGTATGCAACAGCTTATTATATTCCTCTGTTAGTGAACATTCTAAGTATTGCAGTTAAGAGCCTGTATTCAAATTCTAGTTCTCTCTCTCTGGTTATGTGATAGGAACATTACTTAGTCCCCCTAAGATACAATTTCCTCATTGGAAAATGGGGATAATCCTGATAAAGTAAGGATTACATGAGATAATTCAGTTAAGATAATTAGCTCAGTGCCTATCACAGAGTAAGACCTCTGGATGTTAATAATTTTTATTATTTTATTAATAGACCATACTGACCAGGATATCTTCTAGTTTCATATCCAACATATCTGTGCCAGTAATATATTTCTTCCAGTCCTCTTGTTCTTGCGCCTGTTCTCCCATATTATCCAGGATTAATTCAAAGAAAATCACCTTCTCAGAAATGGTGCTGAATGTATTATCAAAGCAGAACATGTAGTCCCCTACTTCCGTCTCTACCCTGTATTAAAAAAAGTACATGTCTTCCATTACATCAGTACTTCTATTTCAAATCAAAGGAAAAATTACTGCAGATAGAAGAAGTAAGAGTAAATAATAATTGGACAACTTACTAATAGGCTTCCTTAGATTTAAAAGATAATTTATAATTTTTTGGGAGAGGCAACCTAGAAATATATAGAAGTAGGCAAAAATAGGTTTATAGTTTAATACAATAAGTAATAATACAAAACTCAACTCTGTTTCGAGTACTCACAAGTGTAAATCTATGTTTGCCCACCCCTGTATATTTAAGTACTGTACTTGACATCTAGATGTGTTTGGCATTACGGTAAATGACCTTCACATAATTTTTGGAAAAGAACTGAAGTAAAAACTTGATACATGATACCTCACGATGAACTTCAATATTTATGACTACAAACCTCTCCTTCAATTGAGATTAATTTGTAAAGTGAGTTTTTTGGTGTTTTATTTCAAAAGCAGTGATGGATTTTCCTAAATGCTTTCTTCCAGGCCTCCTACCAATTAAGTACATTTTTGGAATGTAGTTAGGGTAATATTAATTCCATTGTTTAGAAAAATGCATTTATATACCACTCCTCGTTTACAGGCAATGCTAGGTAATAGGTATTATTTAATCTGTTTTAGAGCCCTGTTTGGAGAAATTTTTACTAACCCCAACTTCTAAAAGGACAGTATTATTTTAAAGATTTAAATTAAGAAAAAACTATTTCAATGCTGTAACTGAGATCTTAATTGTCTTTAAAAAGTTAATATAGCTAAAGATAAATTTGTATTGAAATCTAAGTTTTACAAAATAGATCTGTAAATTTCATGTAGTGATTAAGAAGTGAGTGAGACTGCCTGGGCTTCAGATCCTGGCTTCACTGTTGACTAGCTGTGTAACCTTCCATCAGTTTACTTAAGAGCTCTTGCCCCAATTTCCTCATTGGTAAAATGATAAAAATATCATGTAACTCATAGGATTGTGGTGAAGAATAATATATAAACAAATACATGTAAAGTGCTTAGAATAGTTTCCTGGCACATCAAAAAGAACTCAACAAATACACTCTTATAAATACATTTTTGTCTCCCAATGTTTTTGACAAGAGGCAATTCTATATACTAAAGCTATAAAATACCTTTTCCCACTAAGAGTCAATATTAATTTATCTCTAAAGGAAAGCATAAAATTGTAGAGAAATAAAAATTAAGAGAAATTATATGTTTTCTATATTCTGAAATTTAAAGGTGAACTACATTTTTAGTTCTTGTTCATATACCTATCAAAGTGAAAGTATACTAGTCATTGCAATTAGACAAGAAGAGGAAATAAAAGGCATCCAAATTGGAAAAGAAGTAAAGTTATCCTTATTTGCAGATGACATGATATTGTACATAAAAAAACCAAAAGACTCCATCAAAAAATTAATAGACTTAATAAATGAATTTGGCCATGTAGCAGGATACAAAATTAATGCCAAGAAATCTATGGCATTTCTATACACCAATAGTGAACTTGCAGAAACAGAGACTAAAAAGGCAATCCCATTTACTATCGCACCAAAAAAATTAAGATACCTAGGAATAAACTTAACTAAGGAGGTAAAAGACCTATACGCGGAAAACTACACTACTCTGAAAAAAGAGATAGAGGAAGATGTAAACAGATGGAAGAACATACCATGTTCATGGATTGGTAGAATCAACATCATCAAAATGTCCATACTTCCCAAAGCAATCTATAGGTTCAATGCACTCCCCATTAAAATACCAATGGCATATTTCACTGACCTAGAAAAAACTCTTCAAAAGTTCATTTGGAACAACAAAAGACCCCGAATAGCCACAGCAATCCTGAGAAAGAAGGGTAAAGTAGGAGGGATCTCAATACCAGATTTCAAGCTGTATTACAAAGCCACTGTTCTGAAAACAGCCTGGTACTGGCACAAGAACAGACATATAGATCAATGGAATAGAATTGAGAAACCAGATATCAACCCAAATCACTATGCTCAGTTAATATTTGGCAAAGGAGGCACGAACATACCATGAAGTCAAGACAGTTTCTTCAATAAATAGTGTTGGAAAAATTGGACAGATACATGCAAAAGAATGAAACTAGATCACCAACTTACACCATACACAAAAATAAACTCAAAATGGATACAGGACTTAAACATAAGACAGGAAACCATAAAAATACTAGAGGCATCCACAGGCAGCAAAATCTCAGACATATGCCAAAAGAACTTCTTCACTGATACTGCCCCTAGGGCAATGGAAGCTAAAGAAAAAATAAATAAATGGGACTACATCAAAATAAAAAGCTTTTTTACAGCAAAAGAAACCATCAACAAAACAACGAGAAGGCCCACGGTGTGGGAGAACATATTTGCAAATGTTATCACTGATAAAGGTTTAATCTCCAACATCTACAGACAGCTTATACAACTTAATAAAAGGAAGATAAATGACTCAATTAAAAAATGGGCTATGGATCTATTAATAAATAGAATCTTCTCAAAAGAAGACAGAAGGAAGGCCAAGAGGCACATGAAAACATGCTCAAAGTCACTAATTATCCGAGAGATGCAAATCAAAACAACAATGCGGTACCATCTCATTCCTGTCAGAATGGCTATCATCAACAAATCAACAAATGACAAGTGTTGGTGAGGTTGCAGAGAAAAAGGAACCCTCGTGTATTGCTGGTGGGAATGTAGATTGGTGCAACCACTGTGGAGAATAGTATGGAGCTTCCTCAAAAAACTGAAAATGGAACTCCCATTTGATCCAGTATTCCCACTCCTAGGAATATATCCCAAGAAGCTAGAAACACCAATCAGAAAGGATATATGCATCCCTATGTTCATAGCAGCACAATTTACAATAGCTAGGATTTGGAAACAGCCTAGGTGCCCATCAGCAGATGATTGGATCCAAAAACTATAGTACATCTACACAATGGAATATTATGCTGCCATAAAAAAGAAGAAATTCTCATCATTTGCAGCAACCTGGATGGAATTGGAGAAAATCATCCTGAGTGAAGCCAGTCAATGAAAGAGAAACACTACATGTCCTCACTTATTTATGGATGATAAAGAACATTATAAACTGAAGAACCAAAAGATAGATATAGACAGTAAAGCAACAAGCAGACTGTCAAATTGCAGCAGGGAGGGTAGGGAGATCTGGGGGAGATAATAGATCAACTGAAGGACTTGTATACATGCATATAAGTACAACCAATGGACACAAAACTCTGGGGAGGGAGGGCATGTATGGGAGGGGATGGGCAATGGTATATGTACAAAGATAATCATTTAATAAAAATAAATAAAAATAAAAAAGTGAAAGTATAGTTAATCCCAGGCATATCAATATACACTGACTTTTAAAATGATAATTTATCTATTTTATAAATTAATAGTTTATGCAAATATTTTTCCTGAGTTCTACATAGGAAAAAGCTGCTTTACAAAGTACTCTAAAATGAGTATCTTGAAAAATTATGGTGGAGACATTTCCCCCTTCATTCATTCATACATGTATTCAGTATTTACTATCAATTACCATGGCAGGTATATTGGTTAATAAAGACCAAAAATTAAAATAATTGCTAGTACTTACATGTACTATGTGCCAGGGATGTTCTAAACATCGTATGATCGAAGTAAATATTTTGGTCCAGCTCTAACTGGTTTGACTCAGTGGATAGAGCATTAGCCTGCAGACTAAAAGGTCCCAGGTTCAATTCCTGTCAAGGGCATGCACCTTGGTTGCGGGCACATCCCCAGTAGGGGGTGTGCAGGAGGCAGCTGATCGATGTTTCTCTCTCATTGATGTTTCTAACTATCTCTCTCCCTTCCTCTCTGTAAAAAATTAATAAAATATATTTTAAAAAAATATTTGAGTCCATCCTGCCTCTGCTTAATATACACTGAGTGGCCAGATTATTATTATCTCTGAACACATAATAATCTGGCCACTCAGTGTGTGTGTGTGTGTGTGAGAGAGAGAGAGAGAGAGAGAGAGAGAGAGAGAGAGAGAGAGAGAGAGAGAGAGAGTGTGTGTGTGTGTGTGTGTGTGTGTGTATATATATATATATATATATATTTTTTTTTTTTTTTTTTTTTTTTTTGAGGCCTGGTGCTGGCCAGTCTGGCCACGGGGAGGGGACATGGGCAGTTGGCTGGCCTGCCTGCTGGTCGAACTCCTGGTTGAGGGGACAATTTGCATATTAGCCTTTTATAATATAGGATATACACTGAGTGGCCAGATTATTATGCGTTCAGAGATCATAATAATCTGGCCACTCAGTGTGTGTGTGTGTGTGTGTGTGTGTGTGTGTGTACACACACATGTTTAATTTCTCTGAGCCTCCTTTTCTTTAAAATGGGAATTAGGCAATCAAAGAATCTATCTCACAGTGGATTGGAATAATTAATTTAGAAGCATATAAAATGTAAGGCCTAGTTTATGGCAAATATTAGATATTCTGTACTTGCTCTTCTTCCTATAAACTCAGTTTAGTTTTAATCCAACAATACTGAGTAATGAAAGAGCTGAAGTAAAATAATAGGAACAAGGAAACACTAGTGACAGATAAAAAAAGGTAAATGAGATGCAAGAAGAGATTATATGGCCAGTTGTCAAATTTAAATTAAAAGTGTTATAACAAGTATTTCCTTTTTATATGGTTTCCTACGGTCACATCTTTTACTTCTAATCGTCTAACAGGAGTGAGGTCTGAGTAAAAAAATAATTTTTACTTACACTCACAAATGTATTTTACTGTTGTTTTAAGGAAGAAAAGAATGGGCAGAGATGATAATTACCTGGAAGTAATTTACAGTTAAATGGAAAGCCTCTGCTAGCCAAAAAGGTAGGTTCAAAATGACACAGTAGACTGCCTAAATACTTAGGGAATACTCATCTATTTAACCAAAGCAGGGGAAAAACTTAGGATCAATACAAAACGTCTTAACAAATAGAAAAGGTTAATGGAAAATATTCTAGTTTTTTAGATCACTATCTAGGACTTTTAGGCCACCAGTATGGCTCAGTGGTTGAGTATTGGCCCGTGAACCAGGAAGTCATAGTTCACTTCCCAATCAGGGCACATGCCTGGGTTGCAGGCTCCATCCCAGCAGGAGGCAGCCAATCAATGATTCTCTCATTACTGATGTTTCTCTAACCCTCTCCCTTCCCTTTTTTAATATTAATAAAAATACATTAAAAAATTAAAAAGACTGTTTAAAATGTTCATATGGAGTCCTGGCTGGTGTGGCTTAATTGGTTGGAGCAACGTCATCCTGTACCTCAAAGGGTTTAGGATTTAATTCCTAGTCAGGGCACATGCCTAGGTTGTAGGTTTGAAACCCGGTTAAGCATGTCTATAGTGAGGATTATAAAAATAATAATAGCCCTAGCTGGTTTGGCTCAGTGGATAGAGCATCGGCCTGCAAACTGAAAGGTCCCAGGTTCCATTCTGGTCAAGAGCACATGCCCGGGTTGTGGGCTTGATATCCAGTGGGGGCCTTGAAGGAGGCAGCTGACCCATGATTCTCTCTCATCATGGATGTTTCTATCTCTCTCCCTCTTCCTTCCTCTCTGAAATCAATGAAAAAATAAAAGAAAAGAAAATGTTCATATGGAGTAATTTAATATTGATATTTAGTATCAAATGTGCTAAATTTCCTTTCCTTGCAGATGGCTCATTGGTATTATTCAGCTCAAGGAATCAACTAAGAAATTACTTACGTGTGAACTCCATCTGATTTTCTTTGTTCAAAAACTAAGGTTCTTCCTTCTGGAGAAGAAAGATGGAAATCAATATCTAATCCTGCTCCATCTAAAACCTGTAGAATAATACAGAAGAGAACACAACACATATTACAAATTCTGAAAATAAACTATATAAAGTAGATCACATGATGAAGAGACTTTCTTTATAAACCTAGATGGGAAGAAAGTCAATGGACTCATTCATTATGGTTAGAAAGGAGCAGAAAGATCATCTAGTTCAATTCCATTCATTTTTGGAACTGGTCTCTTTTTTTTACCAATTCCTTTTGGCTCTCATGGAAATTTAGGCCTTACAGGTATTAGTGTAATAATCTTCCTAAATCAGTGCCTTCAAGTTGAGAAGTCCTGTAGAATAAAGTAAAAAGTTGCTGCTTCATAGTCTACAACTTGAGGCCAGCATGATCTGACTCTGACTTCTTCAACACTTCCATATATTATTCCCCAAAATGAACAATATATTCAAGGTAGGCTGCTTACTTACTGGCCAATGAACACAATCTGTTTCTTTACAATCCCCAAATGTCCTCCTCCTGCTGCTGCTGTGAAGAGAGCAGCTCACGATTACAGTTTATGCCACACATTGTCTTTCAAGTGCTTTATGCGGGTTAATTTATTCCTCACAACAACTCTAAAACATAGGTCCTATTCTTGTTCTCATTTTAATAAAAAACAAAAAATGAAGGCACAGAGAAGGAATTTTCCCAAGATGATACAACAAATGAGGGGCATGGCCAGAAAATAGGAACTTGCCAATCTCCCTCCAGAGGCTACTCTTTTTCTATAACACTCCACTGTTTTTCTTGGTGGTTTTAATGGAATGATATAAAAGTTTACCTACTCCTGTGCTCTACTTACTGATAAAAAAAAACAAAAAAAAAAACTGGCTTCAAATGGCAAGTGAAAAAGTAACGACCAAAAGTATGAGGAAAATGGTAACACCCTTATGAAGGACAGAGCTAAAGATTTTAAATTATTCATCTAATAAGCATTTCAAAACGAGAGAACCAAGATAAATTAAGGGAAGAAATCATCAGATAAGAGGATAAAAATTCCTGCTTCACAAGATGAAATTCATTAGATGAAAAGGTTTAATAGATGGGAAGCAGTATAAATGAAAAAAGATCCAAAAATCCTACTGACTCTTCCAAAGGATTTAAAAAGAATAACATAGAAACTTCCAACACCAGCAGTAAAGACTAAAAAATAACAAGAATTGGGATTGATATCAGAATTCTTACATAGAAGATGCAAAAAACCCACAATGGAACCATGTCTTCAATGTTCCTGGATAAAAATAAAAATTATATTGCCGAAGCCGGTTTGGCTCAGTGGTAGAGCGTCGGTCTGTGGACTGAAAGATCCCAGGTTTGATTCCGGTCAAGGGCATGTATCTTGGTTTCGGGCACATCCCTGGTGGGTGTGCAGGAGGCAGCTGGTTGATGTTTCTTTCTCATTGACGTTTCTAGTTCTCTATCTCTCTCCCTTTCTCTCTGTTAAAAATCAATAAAATATATTTTTTTAAAAAAATTATAGTACTTACTGAAGTGAAAGCAAAAAGTAAAAGCAATTTTCAAATATCCAAGGACTCAAAACATACTAAAAGAATTACTCAGGTTATCCTCAAAAAAAAAAAAAAACAAACCAGAAGAAAAAAACCCATATCCATTAAGTCACAAAATGAGCTATAACAAAACTAAGCAAAGATTTCAGTAAAGCTTAGTTTTTGTAGTGGCTATCAGGCTTAATGAAATTGTTTAAAATGGCACTTAAGAATACGGAAGCTGCCCAGACATCGTGGCTAAGTGGTTAAGCTTCAACATATGAACCAGGAAGTGACTGTTGGATTCCCGTCAGGGCACAAACCCGGGTTGCAGGCTCAATCCCGTGTGGAACATGCAAGAGGCAGATGATCAATGATTCTCTCTCATCACTGATGTTTCTATCTCTCCCTTCCTCTTTGAAATCAATAAAAAAATATATATTTTAAAAATACAGAAGCCAATTAAAAATATATAATACATATTTAAAATATAAATTTATTTTAAAAGGTACCATAATCCAAATCTAAACTCCCCACTGATTTTAATGGAGCATGATAGTCAAGTGCCACTTTCCCCTGTCCGTATGCTATGGTAACAATGTTTCAATTGCTCAACAGTCTGTCTTACTCCTCAATGCCTTGTCACGTGTTCTTTAAAAAAAAAAAAAAAAAAAAAAAAAATATATATATATATATATATATTGATTCCAGAGAGGAAGAGAGAAATAACAAGGATGAGTGAGAATCATCAATCGGCTGCCTCCTGCACGCTCCCCACTGGGGATGGAGCCCACAACCTGGGCATGTGCCCTTCCTTGACTGGAATCCAACCTGGGACCCTTCAGAGCTAACCCAGCTATTTCCTTAAAATTCTAAGCACTAACACAAAAACCAGAGCTTGCTTATTGGAAAATTAATCATGTGTTCTTTTTACCCATCACCTTGTTCCACTCACCCCCTTATGCCTAGTAATCCTGATTCTTCTATAGATCTGAACTCCACTTCCTCTGGGTTGTCTTCTCGTAATTCTCAGATGAAATCAAATCCTCCCTTTAAATACTCTCATAGCTGTATGCATTTACCTACCTCCATAGCACTTATTAGAGCTATAATTTCACATTTATTTGTGTAATAATTTAATGTCTGTCATCATAAAAAACTGTATAAGGGCATAGACTACATTTTTACTCACCATTGTATTCATAGCACCTAGCATAGTGTTTATACAAATTAAGCAATCAATAAAGATTTAAAAACATTTTAAATATATTTTTTAATTTATTTCAGAGAGGAAGGAAGAAGGAGAGCTAAAAACATCAATGAGAGAAAATCGTTGATTGGCTGCCTCCTGCAGCCCCACACTGGGGATCGAGCCTGCAACCTGGGCATGTCTCCCGACTGGGAATCGAACCATCACTTCTTGGTTCATAGGTCGATGCTTAATAACTGGGCACAGTGGCTAGGCCAAAGATTTAAATTTTTAAGTGAATGATCTATATTATTCATAAGATACATGTATTGACATTAAAATTTTTTGAGAACAATATAATGTAGGGCTCATCACTTTGTCACAGAAACTCAAGGGCAGTGTCTGGAACATCAATTCCTTGAAATTTTAATCTCTAACAAAAACCAGAGCTTACTTATTGGAAAATTAATCATGGAGTAGGAAAATGCAAATCATTTCACTATTTTCCTTGTCTCTAATTTTGACTTACTTAAACCTGTCTTCCACCCTATGCAGTGATCTATGTGACAAACATTTTTGACTGCTACCATGCTGCTTAAATCTTCAATGGCCCTTGCACAGAATAAAGACAAAACTATTTAAAATGGTGCACAAGGCTAAGATCTCTTTTGCTTTTACTCCACTCTAGACTTTCTAGACTTGAAGTCTAATAAAACCTCAGGAGTTGTAACTTCCAATACATACTGCCTACAGCCAAAACACTCCTACTGTGCATTTTTCAGAATGCAAAATGCATACTCATTTTGTTCTTTTTTTAAATTTTATTTTATTGTTTTACAAATAATAGCACATATGTCTCCTTTACTCCCCCTCCCCCTTACCCCCCACATTGACCTTCCCCCTGCTTCCCTTAACCCCCTGGCACATGCCCTCACCCCGCCCCCCGAAGTGTCCTGCATCCATTGGTTGTTTATATGCATGCATGCATACAAGTCCTTCGGTTGATCTCTTACCACCACGCTCATTTTGTTCTTTTTTTTTTTGAAATGTCCTCTCTTCCTTGCATCTGTATCATTGAAGCATCTTTCTAGATTCAAATTTATTTCTTCAGGTATCCTTTTCTGAAACCCGAGAAGCAGCCCTTCTCTATGAACACTTAACCACACTTTACTGAAATTACCTGTTTATGTGCCTTACATATTTCAAGTACCCCCTGAAAACAGGGACTCTTTCTTTTGTTTTTACCCTCTCTTCCTCCCCTCCCCCAATCATCGGCATATAGTAACTGTTCAGTAAGTGAACTTTTGAACTAGACTGGAATTTTTTAAATGTTGAGGTCTGGATTTGGTTTTGCTAATTATGTGACTAAGCTCTCTATGCTTACCTTATACATCTATAAATAATCTAATTCTAAAGTCCCTTTGGATGAAAATTCTGCATAACTCTTTATTTTGCTCCATATTACAGTACCTGTTACTGAAAAAGATTCCCTACATCAACTTAATAAAAGGGACACCTGTTCTAGTTGGTTTGGCTCAGTGGATAGAGCTAGGGGCCTGTGGACTGAAGGGTTCAATTCCCATCAAGGGCACATGCCTGGGCTGAGAGCTCACCGCCAGTGGGTGATTGATTCTCTCTCACCATTGATGCTTCTATCTCTCTCTCCCTCACCCTTCCTCTGAGAAATCAAGAAAAAAATATTTTTTAAATAAGTGACACATGATTATAAATTATGTAACTTGTAAAAAAAATTTAATAGACGAACCACACCAACGCATCTCTTTTTGCAGTGCTAGAGACATCTAAATTAGCTGTGTTGCACTGACAAGATTTTTTCCAAGAAATCACCCTCTACCAGAGGACTATATAAATGAAAGCAACTCCCTATATAATATCATGCAGATAAAAAGAAACCAGTGATATGGGAGAAAAGCTCATAAAGCTGAAATGAAAGGTTATACTGCCTTACTATATACAGTTAGATCTAACTTGATTAAAAAAAACCTGCAACTGATAAGGAAATGTACTGTTACATACAACAGTCTGTTTCACAACATTATACCAAAATCGGATTTAGTGACAATCCCGTGGCCCAATTCAAAAATCCTTAACTGAAGAAATGACAGTGAAGACTTACGATATTTGCATTTTGGGTGAGGATGGTGGCGTGAATAAGACAAACATCACCATCTCACCCAATGGTGAAGGAGAACGTGTATGAGTCCCGGATTGTGAAACTCTCAGCATCGGAACCTATACCGCCTAGCAAAGCGATGGGAGAATTACGAAACCGAGAAAAAAAACACCGCCTCAGCAGCGCTGGCCCCTCTCCCACGGGAGGAAAGGGGAAAAGGCGGAGAGCAGCGGCGCCGGTCCCGCCGAACTTCGCGGCTCCCGGCGGCCGCGCGCCTGCGCGAAGGCGGCGGCTCCTCGCGGCCCCGCAGCCTCGCCGCCCCGCGGCCCCGGCAAGTTCCTCAGCAGCGGGAGGCGACGATGGCGCGGGGCGGCCGGGGACGAAGGCGGGCGCGGCCTCCGCACTTACTTGGTACTCGATCTCCAGCGAGGCCTTCAGGGGCATGGGCTGGAAGAAACACTCCCGCCGGCCGGCCGGGAGGGTGAACGTGAAGTCACTGTCCAGGGAGTGCGTGAAGCCCGCCGCCCCCGGCAGCAGCGCCGGGGGCAGAGCGGCCAGGAGCAGCACCGGGAAGGGCAGCCAGGTCTTCTCGCCCATCCCTGCCGGGCGATCTCGGGCTGGGAGAGGCGTGGGAGGTGTGGGTGGTCGGCACGGAGGCTCCGCCGTTTGCCTCCCCGGACTCCGCGTGGTTGGCTAGGCAGGGGAACCCGGAGCCAGAGGGAACTCCAGGTGGCGGCCGCAGCGGCGGCAAACACTCCCACGGCGGAGCATTCGCCAACCTCTAAGGGTGGGACCGGAGGGCGGGGCCAGCGGTCCCTTTCCGCACCCTCCTAGGTCCCGGCTCCCTCCCTCCCGGCCGGCGTGAGCACCGCCCGCCTTCGCACGCCCACAGCCGCAGGTTCCCATAGCTTCCTGCACGCCAAAGGGGGCCTTTGCGGGGAATTGTGGGAAATGTAGTTCCGAGCGAGCCGGCAGGGGCGGCGCCGTCAGACCACGATTCCCGGCAGGCCCCGCGCCTCCTCTTACGTCGCCCCGCGCGGAGGCGGAGCGGAGGGAGGGGGTCGGGGGCGGAGCTGGGCCCGCTCCCGGAGATGCGTCTCCAACGGTTCCCGCGGCGGTTCGAACGCTTAGCAGCCCGGGTTCTCAGTTTCTCCGCCTGTTGTTGTGTTTACCGGTTCCAGGCCCGGGGCCCGCGAGAGGGTCCGAGGCTTCGGAACGCAGACCGGAGCGCGGCGGGCGCTGTCGCTGTCGTCGGGTGGGTCTCTCTGCCAGCGACGGCTTGGGTGGTGAGCGAGCGCTTCTTGGGAGGGTGGAACCGGGCCTGCCCGGGGGAGTCTGTGGCTTTCCCTCCCGGCCCCCTCGTCCGTGCCTGCGCGGCGCCCGCGGCTCTGCAGGGAAGATGTCCTATTCGCCCCATTCCTGCAGATGAACGTAGTAGGATCGCTGCTGTCCAGCTGAGCGTTCTTGATACAGGAATCTCTTCCGACGACAGCCTCTCTCGTTACACACCGAGGGTGTGAGGGACGCTCCCTCCTCGCTGGGTGGGTGTGAGCTGCAGCTACAAACGCAGTGTTATCTGAGCCAAAAGGTGACGACGCCAGGGCCTGTAGGTAGCCTGTGCTTTTCCAGGTGTGCAGGCAACGAAGGTAGATTTTTGTGACTTCCTAAAGGGAGGAGGACTCTTCATGTGACACTAAATGGCCCACAAAGAGAAAGGAAATGTTTGGACATCAACTGTATTCATTGATCATTCAATTCAGAAGGGTTAGAGAATTCTTACATTCAAGTACACGGAAGATGTTGGACCTAAAACCTAATTTAGTGGAACCATGATAATGGGATGATGGCATTTTAGAATTTACCCAAATTTTATTTACCCTTTTTTTCTTTTCTTTTTTTCCCCTTCACCATTCTGTGGGAAGCTAGAGATGTGAAAAGATAAAGCAGAATGGGGTCGGACCTGATACATGGACTTTGGGAGTCTTCTTAATAATTAAGAGGAGGGAAATTTGTAGAAGCAAAAGGGGGGGAAGGATTTTCTCTAAGACTGCATAGTATCTCATTTAATTTCCTAGCATAGTTTATTTCAGTAAGGTAAGAGTTTTCTTTTTAGTCTTTCTCCTTACATCTGAGAAATTTTAAGTATGGGATAAATGTAATATTTTAACAGAATGAGTGGAAGGAGAGGCGGTTTAGTAATAATTGATTCACTGAAAATACTGTTTCCCTAAGTGCCTTATAGTCCTGAACATAATTCATAGGACTCCTAGCCATTTAGAGCTTGAAATGTGGTCAGAATTCTAGAAGAGTAAGGAAAGAGGGATGCTACAATGCTAAAGGTAAATGGGATCTGAAAGAGGAATGTTATTTATTATTTCTTTATAATAAGTCTTTATTGTTCAGATTATTACAGGTGTTACTCTCCCCCTCTCCCCCCAATAGCTCCCCTCTACCTGATTCCCAACCCCACCCCATGCCCTTATCCCCAACATTGTCTTTATCCATAGGTGTAAGATTTTTGTCAAATCTCTTCCCGCACCCCTCAGACTCTCTTCTTCCTGAGAATTGTTAGTCCATCCCTTTCTATGTCCCTGATTCTATTGTTTTCACCAGTCCATTCTGTTCTTCAGATTTTTTTATTCACTTGATTTTTAGATTCACTTGTTAGTAGATATGTATTTGATGTCTTTTTGTTGTTCATAATATTTTTACCTTTACCTTTTTCTTCTTCCTCTTCTTAAAGAATACCCTTCTACATTTCATGTAATCCTGGTTTGGTGTTGATAAACTCCTTTAACTTCTTCTTGTCTGTGAAGCACTTTATCTGCCCTTCAATTCTGAATGATAGCTTTGCTGGGTAGAGTAATCTTGGTTGTAGGTTCTTGTTGTTCATCATTTTGAATATTTCTTGCCATACCCGTCTGGCCTGCGTAGTTTCTATTGAGAAATCAACTGACAGTCGTATATGTATTTCTTTGTAGGTAACTAGCTGTTATTCTGTTGCTGCTTGTAAGATTTTCTCTTTGTCTCTTGCCCTGGGAATTTAATTATGATGTGTCTTGGTGTGATCCTCTTAGGATTCCTTTTGTTTGGGGTTCTGTGCGCTTCCTGAACTTGTAAGTCTATTTCTTTCACTAGGTAGGGAAAGTTTTCATTATTCCGTAAGGCCTTCAATATCCTGCTCCTCAAAAATCCGGATGTTGGTATGCTTTGAGCAGTCCCAGAGGCTCCATATGCTATCCTCACACTTTTGGATTCTTCTTTATTTTGCTCTCTAGTTGGGTGATTTTTGCTTCCTTATATTCCAGATCTTTGGTTTGATTCTTGGGGCACATTATCTATAGTTGAGTTTCTATATATTCTTTATTTCAGACAGTGTATGCTTAATTTCTGGCTGGTCCTTTTCCATATTTTTGGTATTCTCATTAAGGTCCTTGAAGGTCTCACAAAGCTTCTTGGAGGTCTCATCAAGTTTCTCAAAGGTTTTTAGAAGGTTCTTGAGTAACCTTATAAATGTGATTCTGAACTCTGTGTCGTCCAGTAGTTTACTTTCCTCCATCTCTCCCATTCGTGACATGCTTCTGCATCTCCTCATTTTGGCTGCCTCCCTGTATTGATGGAGTGGCTTTGTGTAGTTGGTGACCTATAGGGGTCAATAGCTCAGCTTCCACAATCACCTGAGATGGTCGCTTTTGCTATATCCCTTTGTGGGATGAGTGTAATTAAGCCTAGATTGCTGTTGGTACACTGGGAGGAATTGACTCCAGGCCAATTGTCTGTGAGCTGCGCTGGAGACACGCCTTGTTTCAATGGGGCTTTGGTGCTCACTGAATCCATCTCCCAAATGTGTCACTCATGGGTGTGAGAGGTTAAAACTGAGCATTAGGAACACTGGCTTCTGGATCTCCAGTGGGGTGCCTGAGGTTCAGCTACTGCACCCTGCAGGAGCTACAGTGTGAACCACAGTCCTCTCCTCCTTTGTTAGGTTAAACTGCAACTGAGACGGCCATTCGTATGCAAAAGTCCATTCGAATGCAAAAGTCGCTGCTTGGAACTTGAATGTGTTGTGAGAGGCGGAGTCTCAAGGCATCACTAGGCTGGGGTGTGGTCAACAGCAATGGCTGCCTGTCAGCCGCCTCTCGGATCCGTGTCCCATGTCTCCACGCGTCTCCCCACGTCTCGCATCACAGCACAGCAAACAAATATTCTTGCATGAAGCTCTGCAAGCCAGCCACCCTCACTTTCCGACCGGATGGCAGACAGTCTAGCCTCTCAACAGAAACTGGATTTCAGAGAGGTCGGGAGCTTGTCTGTCTTCGGGTTGAAGAAATCAACGCCCTCCGCCAGCCCATATTGTGTCCGTGCCCCCCCTACATCAGTTTCAGCGCTTGTGCACTGAAATCTCCTCTTTCTCTTTCAGTTTAGTTGTAGGTCTTTCAGCCAGATTTCCCTTGGGTTTAGGGTGATAGACTTATTTTATAGTTGTATATTTGAAATTGTGCATGGCAGCAGATTAGGTGTGTTAACCTATGCTGCCACCTTCGTTCTCTAGGAATGTTATTTTTTAAGATTATGCAGAAAGAGATAGGAATAATAGAGATTATAAAGTTTGCATTTAATTTTTATTAGTTATGAGCAATATGTGTTTAATTATATGTGTTAATTTTTAATAATAAAATGTGGCCCCTTATCACGATTTTTATGTGCAAAGACATTTAGTAGAGAATTTCATAGCTCTAGAAATGCACTTAAGTTGAAGAAACAAAAGCTTTTCTTCATATACTAGAGGCCCGGTGCCTGAAATTTGCTCACTTCTGGGTGGGAGGGGGGAAGGTTCCTTAGCCTGGCATGTGCCCTCTCACAGCCGGAGACTCCTTGGGGGTTGTCTGCCTGCTGGCTTAGGCTCACTCCCAGCAGTCAGGCATCCCTCTCATAGTTTGGGAGCCCTTGCTCCTTACCGCCAGCTTACTTGCTCCTTACAGCTTAGCTCGCTGCTCCTTAGTATTACAGTGGAGGTGGGAGAGGTCCTGCCACCTTCGCTGCGCTCGCCAGCCATGAGCCTGGCTTCTGGCTGAGCGACACTCCTCCTGTGGGAGCACACTGACCACCAGGGGGCAGCTCCTATGTTGAGCATCTGCCCCCTGGTGGTCAGGGCCATCATAGCGACCAATTGTTCTAGTTCCCCTGTAATGGTCACTTAGGCTTTTCAGGCCCAGTGCAAATTTGTGCATGGTCCCTCAGCCCAACCTGCACCCTCTCCAATCTGGGACCCCTCGGAGGATGTCCGACTGCCTGTTTAGGCCTGATCCCACAGCCCGGTCACCCCAAAATGCCCTCCCCTGCATATTCCCTCTTTATTAGATAGGGTTTTTTCTTTAACATATTGGACAGTGTACCTGCTGTGGTCTTGACAAACCAGTAAAAATGTAAACCCAAACTAAAAGTGTCATAAAATAAACTCGTTAAACAGGAATTTCATGAGACCTTGGAAAGGTGATATCATGTGGTTGTTTCTTCCTTTCTTCCTTCTCTTTCTTTTTCTTGATGTTTCATCTTTTGTCCTTTCTTTTCTCCTTTTATTCCTTTTCTGTCCTCTCTTTCTCTTAACTTTTCTGTTGGTAGAATCATCAGTACTTGAATCTGTCTTGCTTCCAGAAGACAAAGAAGAGGGAAACACAGGCATCTGAAGAAAAAGATGATCTATGTTGGGATCGGTGGGGTTTCTGGTTTTGCTCTTTTCCCGGTTTGTCATTTCTGCCAGCCCTGGCATCTTCAGGACTTGTATGTGGGCACTTCTTATTCATGTTTACAAAACCTCCCTGCCTTGGTGAAAACTGTGGGGGAAAAGGCCTTCCTGGGTGGGCTCGAGCCCTGCCCAAGGTGCTGAGGAACCAGGTGGG